TCACAGATCACAAGATACTAAACACATGAAAAGCAAAATTGATTTTATACTGGAGGTCTATACACATAAAATCCTATCTTTTTTTCTTGTACATATGCTTAAATTTCTTACACAAATAACAAAATGCTTCATTTCATTCACTTCAATAGAATGAACTCCTTAGAAAAAGACTGAAAAGAGTTGATAATCAACTCCAAAGTTTTATGCTTACTTTTTCTATTTCTATCACTTTCCTGACATATTTAATGTAGTCAAGAAAACCTTTTCAGTAAATTGAGCACATGAGTCTAACAAGCATCTTGAAGAACTCTTGACAAATTACACATATCCCATGTTGCTTTTGGCTTTTCATCTCTTCATTGCTTCAAACCCCCACGTTATGTTCCTTTTTTTGAGTAGCCTGTGACCTTCCAGCCTCCTTTTTGGCTTTTACAAACTTGTGGCAAACAATTGCTTTGGCAATTTTTACACCAAGCTCCCAAGTAGCAAGCCGGTTGCTGAACTCTTCAGGCTTCTCAACATTTTACTCCTCCACAGCCTGGACTATCTTCTTTTCAAGGCCTGACTTGTCAATCTTTTTCTTTTTAACAGGGGGCTCAAACCTATCACTACATCCAAAGACTAAGTAATAAGTAAGCTCCTTTCATTGGATTTCATTTAAGGATTGTTCATTATCTGGCACGTTTTCTCTTTTTCCCTCTGAAGTTTGAGGTTTTCTGTTCAGAATATCTTTATGCAACTCTTGAAATTTGTTTCACAAATTTAAGGAAATTCCAGATGGGTGCTCTCCATATGCATTTGCATTAGCCTCTGCTTCAATTTTTGGTCCATCTGCAGAGAAATTTGAGATTTCTGTTTCTCCAAGAGTCCCATCCTCTTTATCTTCCTGTAAGTTCAGTTCAGACTTCTCTAGTGTGGCTTCATCTTCAGAATTCAATTCAATATCACCTTCATTTAGGCCAGGAGGCAGCAGTCTATGTCTTTTCTCTGGTCAGAAAGCACCCCTGCTGTATCCATCTTAAGACCCCTTTTATAAAACCCTTGACAGAAATACATCAATTGTTCCATCAATAAAGTTCTACCTCTACCACCTCAAACTAACATATACATAATATACCTGTTTTTAACACCCTTTTTGGGGCTTCAAAATATATGGATGATTACTTTTTTAGACTCTAGAGGTTTTGGGCTTTTTTTAAAAAATTACAATGTAGAGAAAATAAACTTACATTAATACATTGTACCAAAAATGAAGCAATAAAAACTTCAAACAATAAAATGTGTTATTTTAAGATCTCTATCAAAGAGTCAAGTGACTATAGAAACTCTTCTGGTTCATAAACAGTCTAACAGCACCATGGTATATTTCTCATATTTGGGATAAAAAAATAAGTCTGGAGAGATATGACTCCATAACATGAGTTCCAATAGCTATTTAGTATATATAATAGTAGCTACAAGAGGTATAAAAGTTCAAAGACTCAAAATGTTTAGAAGTTACTCTTAGAGACTAAATTTAATGTTTCCATAGTCTCATGGGTAACCAACTTTTTCCACATAGCAATTTTTTTGGACATTAAAAAAATGGCCTACATTATTTAATGTTTGCTCCTTCCACAAAACTAGCTTTCTCTTTTTAAAAACTCATTCCTCCTTAGCAAGTTTAATTTACTAAGTGAGCTCTAATAAAATTTTAAGCAAGCGAATCTTATATACTCTCATCTCTTTGAACATGTTTCTCCCTGTCTCCAAAGCAGCTGTAAGATTCCAACTACATAAAGCCCTTTAGATCTTCAAAATTCATTTGATGCCATAAAATTACTTGCATCTACAACCTTTCTAAAACTCAAAGCTTTCATGTTCTTAGTGCAAACATTTTAAACCAATTCACACTAAATTATATGAGTATAACTGATAGTTCCTTAATTTACCTAGAGGTAGTTTACTTTTAATTTCTTTTTAACCTAAATTTATTTTAACTTACATAGTTTCAGGAAGTTTAGAAATTATCTAGAAAATAAAAATGGAGCTCTCACAGTGAGAGAAAAGACATCCCAGAAAGGCACTTGTTCCTTGAGAACCCAGTCAGATAATCACAGACTTTAGAATCATCTGGTTCACACCATGTGACCCAGCAGCTATACCCCTCCTCTGAATTTATCCTAAAGAATTAAAGTCATCATACCATATTGATACATGCATACCCACGATAGACAAACTATGGAACCAGCCTAGGTATTCACTGATAGATGAATAAAGAAAATGTGATACACACACAATGAAGTTTTATTCAGCCATAAAGAAAAATGCAATTTTGTCATTTGCAGGAAAACAGACAGAACTTGAGACATTATGTTAAGGGAAGTAAGCCAAACTCAGAAAGCCAAGGGTCACATGGTTTTTCTCATATGTGGAAGCTAGAGGGAAAAAGGAAAAGGTGCTGGAATGAAGGCCTCATAAAAATCAAAGGGAGATCAGTTGAGCAGAGGAAAGGATCCAGGAGGAGGGAAGAGGTTAGGGAAAGAGTAAATACTGGGGAACGATACTGCTCAAATGCTATTGTTACATTGTGTGTGTGTGTGTGTGTGTATGTGTGTGTGTGTGAGGGGGGGGAGAGAGAGAGAGAGAGAGAGAGAGAGAGAGAGAGAAAATACTAAATATAAGGTAAAAATTCTTCAGTGGAAATAAATGCTATGGTTTGTTGAACTAGAAATTTTAAAAATACTGTAAATTCATACTAATACTTTTTTTGAAAGCTTTTTTATTGTAGTGGTATATACATAACACAAAT